TTTTGGTTTTTCTCCGGTACCGGGAACCGAACTCACGACCTTGCGCTTGCCAGGCAGGCGCTTTTGCCGCTGAGCTAAATCCCCAGCCCCTAAAAATTTTTTTCAACACACACCATGTTTTCTGATAATGCTATGTATTTCAAGCAAATTTTATCCCATTCCCCCAAACTAGTGCCAGCACATTTGTTCTTCACTCCCTTCCCCCATACTCACATGGTTCTTTCTGGCCTTCCAGATTCAGATATTAAAGACATCTGAGGTTACCCAGCACTTGCCCAGGGAGTGCCTTCCAGAAAACCTGGGTGGGTACGTCAGAATTGACCTCGCCACGTGGAATTTCCAGTTCCTGCCCCAGGTGAACGGCCACCCAGATCCCTTCGACGAGATCATCCTGTCCTCCTTCCCTCCTGCCTTAGACTGGGACTCGGTACATGTTCCAGGTCCCCATGCCATGACCATCCACGAGCTAGTGGACTATGTTAATACCAGGCAAAAGCGGGGGATCTATGAAGAGTATGAAGACATTCGTCGGGAGAACCCTGTTGGCACTTTCCACTGTTCCATGTAAGTAGGACAGGTTCACCACCATCGGTCCCTAAGATGCCTACGCGCTCCATCCTTGACAGAGGCTTTTCCTTGTGTTGGGGAGTGGCATCACAAGTGACAGCTCTCATTCAGAAAGGCTGGCTCCTCCTTTGGTGCTTGCTGCCATGCCCTGGGCTGTCAGTTCTGAAGGTCTTTGGTGCCAGTGTTGGACTCCTATAATAACAGACATGTCTTTGAGTATTTTCCTGAAATGCAAATATTTAAGAAGAAATGGGCTTCTCTGTATTCCTGGCCTCAGTGTAAGCTCTGATTTGTGTGGTTTCTCCCCAGGGCGTTACACAAAAAAATGTTAGAATAAAATGCTACATCTTGAGAGGACAGGCTGGAGCATTTAAAAGAATCCATGGTTAGCTGGGCATGGTGGTGCACACCTGGAATCCCAGAACTCAGGAGGCTGAGACAGGAGGGTCACTGTGAGTTTGAGGCCGGCCTGAACTGCATAGT